GGGGGGGGGGGGGGTTGTCTTATCGGGCCCGGTGATGAATATCCCGTTCCAGCCTCGAACAAAAAGTTCTCGGATTCGGTCTCTATCTCATACATTCATACTTCGTTTGATTCACCAAGAACTCGGGGTGCGTGTTAGACCTCGAGTTCACCCATATACATATTGTATGCATAACATGCAGAAAAATTACTTCCCGCGAAGAGAATGGCTTTGTCTCCTTAAAATTTAGAAAAGTCTTGTTTGAAGAAAGTGAATAGTCAATTTTTGCAAAGTGTAATGGGAAATGCATTCCCTTAGGAATCGGCTTTGTTTTAACTATATCTCTAAAGTCTGTCCTCCATCTATAGTACGGTCTAAGTCGGTCGGGTCTTTGGGGAATTTTGCGGTGGATTTCAATTTGAATTCTGTGTGATAATTTCACAGTAGTCTCCTCGTATTATTGCTCAAAGATTTCTACAAGTATCGAGTTATGTCTTTTTTCTTATGTCTTCTATAACCTTAGTCCTTGTTCCACTTTTGTTTGTCGTGGAAAATCTGTTCATGGTCTCGCAAATATTAATTAATAATAAATTAAAGAGAAGAGAGGCAGAAGGGAGGGAGGCTGGAAAGTTCGTTTGGGAGTTCTTTTTGGACGTAATTAAAGGAAAACGGTGGGAAGTTTGGTAAAAAGCAAAATGGGCGACCAGGATTTTCCAAATGAAAAGAGAGGGTGAGTGAGAGGGAGTCAAAAACGTTTGACATGTCAACAAATGCCAGCTGTAATAGAGAAGATTCATAGCCCAGGAAATGACATATGCGCCTAATTAGTCCACTCTCTACAGTTCACTTGTACTACTACATTCACTCTCCCCGTATTGGAATCCGATCTTTGTCAAAGAGTGTTGTGGAATAATTAAGGACCGTTTGGCCATAGAATGTTTTTTACTTTTTCTCGAATAATTTTTTTTTCTTTTAAAAATTTGAAAAACTTCAAAAAGGTATTTTTAAAATTTTTTACTTCAGTTCACTCACAAAAATTCAAAAACAAACCAAAATTATATTCATGTCCAAACACAGTTTAAGATTGCTTCATCTTCAATTAGAGATTTTTCAATTTGAAGTTTGAGAATGAATTTTTTTTTAATATGGAACTTTATACCTTTTAAGTGTGCCTATTAGATGTGAATTTGAAAAAGTATGAGTGATTCTAGATAGTAGCGGATGNATATATATATATATATATAATTCTGGACCTATATTTTTAAACCTATAATGAATTTAGTAAAAACTTGATCTTGAATTCATCAAATTTTATCTTGAATTTGCATCGATTTTGAATACAAGATGCTTAAAGCAAAAAATGTTCCGATATTTATAATCTAAATATTAAATATTTGACTCATAATTAAAAATATGACTACTTCAATAATAATAATATAAGGATTGAGACCATCAAATTTAAACTTGCAAATGGCTCTCATTTTAAATATGCCTAAAGAAAGAAAGAAAAAAATATCGAAGCCGATTCGATCCAATCCGGGGCACCAACTTAAGATTTTGCAAAAAGTTGAAACAGGCGTGCATTATATATTTGAGTTGAGAAGAACCACTAGATAGTCTTTTCTCTTTAGACCTTTAACTCTTCTCTCACCCTTTTCTGTGTAAATGTCCTGCAACTCCATTGTAGGTTCAGAGTTTTAGGAGAGAGAGAGAGAGAAAGTGAGCTAAGGACGAGGATCGTGTTAGTGGTTTGTTCCCGCCAAAACCTGCAAACTTTTCCCTACTATCAACTTGCCTTCTCTCTTTTCTTCTATTTTTTCAACTAATCCTCCATCATAATAGTACAGTGTCAGTCCAGTGTAGCAAATTACTAGTACTTCAGTTTTTAATAACGTACCCTCACTCAGTCCTTGTGCTTTTACTCTTGTTTCTGTAACTATTTACTCCTTTAAATTAAAGTCCTTCCCCCCCTTGGTACTTATGTCTATTTGTCCCCCCTCTGTATCTCTTTACTCTACTCATCATCTCTTTCCATAAATTCATCCCTCTCTACTGCTCACCTCCACTTCCCCTCTTTTGCTTATTCCTTCCTTAGACCCCAGAGTTCTGTTAAAAGTTAACCAACAATTTTGAGCTCTGTTTTTTACAACATGATTTTACAACCACCACCAGTAAAATTCTCCGAACACTTGGTCACTACAAACAAGCAAGTTCATGAGCTGAACAAAAGAAGCATGAAGAATCCACAAAAAGTTGTTCGAATCATACTTACCGACGGCGATGCAACGGATTCATCCGACGACGAAGAGGATCAATTCATGGTACGAAGAGTGAAGAGATATGTGACTCAAATCAACTATACACTGCTACCGGAGTCACCAAAGCAAGAGTCTCAACCTCAACAAAGTAGCAGGAAACGGTGTTTGCCTTCATCGGATAGTGATGTCAGCAGCCGGAAAAAATACAGAGGCGTCCGTCAAAGACCATGGGGTCGGTGGGCCGCCGAGATTCGTGACCCTACACGTGGGAAACGTGTCTGGTTAGGAACTTACGACACGCCGGAGGAAGCAGCCACCGTGTACGACAGAGCTGCCGTTATGCTTAAAGGTCCCGACGCCGTTACCAACTTTCCATTAGTCTCGCCGGCGATTGAAACAACGGAGGCGGAGTCCATCATCGTCAGCCCAGCAAGGACTGAAGTTTCTTCAAAGGACGTGGCTTTATCGCCGACGTCCGTTCTCCGTTCTGATGATTTTGGGCCGTTTGATGGCAGCCTAGGGTTTAGCGAAGTGGATGCTTTCGGTTTCGAAATTGACTACCCTTTTGGTCTAACGGGATTTGGAATGTCGGAGAAATATTTCGCCGAGGAATTCAGCGAGTTTGACTTCGACGATTTTGCCCTCGAAGTCAGATAATCGTGAGGGGCAATTTCGTCATTTAAAGAAATGTCCCGGTTTTTGTTGCAATCGGTGACGTGGATTATTTTTGGCGGCAATATACAATGTGCATAGCAATACTGTTGTAGTATACGTCGGAAATCATACGGCGATTTTAGTGAGAGATATTTCCATTTCTTTTCATGGTCAATTATACATATAGGAAATTGTAAAACGACTTATTTGTTTAAAAATTAAGATAAATTGTTAATTATGAGAAGTGTGGAAAGTGGGGTATGTATTGTTTCGTATAAGAAGAGTGTTCGAGAGTGATATTTCTTGGATGTCACGCCTAAGCGTTGAAGAGTGAGTGATATTTATTGTCTTATCAAATTATAATATAATGTGGATGTCTAATAAAGGAAGTGCATAATGTTGAGTGGTATTTTGTTGCAAGTAGCATATATTTTGTGATTATTATTTGGAATTTATGTGGTTTTCATGAATGAACACTTGGCTATAGTGGGTGACTAGCTGGCTAAAACGCCAAATTGATTGGGTAAGTTGTTAGTTTCTAAAGCCAACACGAGTTTTGAAAATTACGAGCACGGGAAACTTCTTAATTCCATTCATTCCGGTTCTTATCCCACGCCCACGCCATGTGGCATACTCCTTGTTTAGTTTCTTTTGCATGGGCTCCACACTATTTCTGTTTTATTAAAATTAATACTGTACACGTTATAGTACAGTTTTTTTAGGTTGCGACTATAATTTAATGAGCAAAAAATAAAATTGATTGGCCAGTCGAAATTAATTACATTTGCTTAGGGTTGCTTATCCGACAGATCATGCTGATATTATGCTTGACTGTTTGGTTTATCGGTTATCGGTTTGTAAATATACTAATCTGTTAGTCATCCGATAAGATATCTAGCAGATTGATATCGGGTTAGCGGCTTTCAGACGGTTTATCGGTTAAATCAAATAGACAATGAAAACTACATAGTAAACAAGACAGTAAATAACATATACACGATCCAATCACAATCACATTCTAGTAGGCTAATGAAGCTCTTATTGTTAATGGCAGTTTCTTCTTCTTTAATTCTTTTACAATAAGCAAGCTAAAATACAAACTGGTGATCCTTAACCAGTAATAGAAGTTCAGTTAACATAAATTCTGGATATAGTTTTGCTTTATTTATCAAGTTAAATGATTTATTTGAGCAGAAAGGTATCAAGAACTATCCAAATCTGTCTAGTCCGACAACAATCCTTATTCGATTTACCAAAGATTTTACCTTTTCTATCGTCATGCTATATTTTTTTCATAACTGCTTATCTTTAATTGAAATCATTATTTTCTCACCCTATAATTGTTTAGTCTTAATTGGAGTTATGATTATCTTCCGCTACTTATTCTTATTTGAATTGTTGAATTTTCCTCGTAATTGCTCAACCTTAAAAGGAGTTTAGATAACCTATATCTTAGTTGACTTGCCATTATTTGGAACTATTTGACTCGTGTTGGCTTCTTATTGTTGACTTGAATATTGTGGAATAGTTGCTACATTTTTTTTTGTTTTCCCTTGTTAAGCTGTTCTCCTTGTGCCTAACATTCTTTACTATGGTCATTTCTAGTGAATGAGTTATACCGTTCTTGTGAGTTAAATTCTTGAGTTGATTNCCGTCGTTATTTAGGTATGGAATATGGCTTGTCGCTAAATTCTGTCGCTAAATACTATTTTTTTGTAATGATTATTCTTATAAATGAACTCCAAACTTCTCAAAAATTAAAATCGACTGCACGTGTAAGTCATAATACATAAAGTGAAGCNTAAGAGAGGGATGATAGGGAGGCTAAGAAGCCTCGTTGTTTTGGAGGATTTAATGGCTCCTGCTCTGGGGGAAAGGCTCGACATGGTAGAGGTCATCTCAATTAGCCAATTCAGTATGCACTTCACGTTTTACGTAGTGCTCCCTCTAGCCATGGATTTTAGAGAACTTGTACTGGACAGTCATCCTTCAGTGCACTTTCTTCTCATGGCTTAATCAATGATATTATTTACCACATCATCTGATAAGTGCAACTTGATTGCACTAACAGTCTTTTCATCCAAGTTATCCCAATCCTCATCTTTTATGGTAACATGCTTCTTGGTATCAATATTTTGTACCTTGTATAATCCATGTTGGATGAGCAGATCCCTCATCCTTCTTTGCCATATTGAAAAACGGTTATCTACGTTGAATTTTGCTACCTCGTACTTTACTCCAAAAAAAAATTTCTGAGTATAGTACCACCGTCTGTGAATAGTATTTTAGTGTACGAGCAGAACCCTAAAATATATCAAGTTACTATTGACCAAAAAATATGAAAATCAAGGTATCAGTCAAACAAAAAGTACCATATCAAAAATTCCTCAACATAATTATATAAAGAGAAAGNCTGTGCATATGGAGTGGCATTTGGAGCAAAAATCAAAGCCTGATTACCCTACTGAAGTACACCCAGCCGAAGTCTGGGGCAATCTCTCTCAATGTGCCTAGTATCAGCACACTCAAAACAACATCTCTGTGAATGTGGCTGATTGAATTGAGTCTGCCTCGGTCGCTTAGAATAACCGTTGTAGGAAAAAGACAAGTTATGATGACATTGAAGCTTAGGCTGCTTAAAAGTTGTTTCATTATAAATCTGACATGTGTCGTTATTTCCTAAATATTGTTGAAAGAAATAGAGAATGCTGCTGAGTGCCGTTGAGATTTAGGGAAATAAGAAATTAAGGGTTTCAAATAGTGGAAGAGATACTTTATATATATAGGGGTAAAAATATAAATATAATAATTTTTAACTGTAACGATCTGACCGGTTATTTTGAGCTCTAGCAAGTCGTTCGGCGGTTTGAGACCTTTAATAGCTTCACTTCATCTCGATTCAGAAGCTTTAAGTTGGAAGAGTTGACCAAGGTTTGACTTTTGAGTACACGACCGCATAATCATTATTTGAAGGTTCCTACAGGTTCGCAAGATGATTTCGGACTTGAACATATGTTTGGGTTGAGTATCGGATGGTCCGAGAGCGTTTCAGCGCTTAATATAGGAAGCTTGCATTTTAGAGGTTTTGAAATTTGCTAAGTTTGACTTGGAGTGTGCTTTGGTGTTATCGGACTTCGGACGATGTTCTGGGACCTTGGATTGGTTCATTTTATTGATTAGAACTTGTGCATGAATTTTGGTCGTGATCCGGAATGTCTAAGTGTGATTCGGACGCATGCGGCGAAGTTTGAAGGTTTGCAAGTTACAAGAAGGATTTTGATCGTCGATTCGTGGTTTTGATGTTATTTGTGGTGTTTCAAGCCTTTGAATAAGTTTGGATGAGGTATTTGAACTTGTTGGTGTGATTGGACAGGGTCCCTAGGACCACGAGTTTGTTTTGGGATGGTATCAGATCATTTTTCTATGTTTTACAGCTGCTAGTTTCTGGTGTGTTTGGTGTGCATCGCAATCGTAGAAGCAGGGTCGCAATCGTGAAGGATTAAGTGGACTAGTAGAGATTTTGTTTTTCGCGATCGCGTAAAAGGTGTCGCAATCGCGGTGATCACGGTGGGTTGTTAGGTTGTTCTTCGCGTTCGTGGTGGAGTAATCGCGAACGCGATGGGTTAGTGAGGCTGGCCTATTTTGGGAGAGTTGCTCTATGCGATCGCGGAAGAGGAAATTTGCCGAGGATAAGATTAGCCTTCGCGTTCGCGGAGCTGTGCTCGCGTTCGCGTAGGCTTGGGCAGGGTGAGCTTCGCGATCGCGAGAGGTCCCTCGCGTTCGCGTAGAGTAATTTCATGGCGTGGCTGATTTGGCCTTCGCAATCGCGAAGGTGTTTCCGTGACCGAGAAGCGTCACCTGGGCAAAATATAAGGTTGCAAACGGAACTTGGCTTATTTTCATCTCTTTTCTCACATTGGAGTCAATTTTGCGGTGGTTTTGAAGACATTTTCGTCATCTATCATGAAGTAAGTGATTCCTACTCATTGTGAATTAAATACGCAGATTATATATGAATTTAAACATGAAAAATAGTAGAATTTGTGAGATTTTTGAAGAAAACCTAGAAAATGGTAATTTTGGATTTTGACCACGAAATTGGACATGGAATTGAGAATAAATTATATATTTGAGTTCGTGGCGCTATGGGTAATATTTATCTTCGAAATAGTTTGGAATCCGTGCAGGTGGGCCCAAGGGTTGACTTTGTTGACTTTTCGTATCGAGTTGGGAATTATTTCTAATTAATTAAATTACGAGTTTTGGTATATTTTGAATGGTTTGCACGTTCTTTGGCTAGTTTGAGGTCGTTTGGCATTGGTTTGAGATGTTAAAGAGGCGTTGGAGTCGGTTATCGGATTCCGGAGCGAGGTAAGTCTCATGTCTAACCTTGTGAGGAGAAATTTATCCCATAGGTGTTATATTTGTTATGTGCTACATGTTGTGGGAGCTACGCACGTATGAGGTGACGAGTGTCCGTGCATATGCTAAAATTCCTGATTAGGCCTGGGTAGACTTAGACTCATGCCATGCGTTAATTATAATATTTGAGTTATTCTTACATGTTTAATTGCTTTAAATAATATTTTTGCCTGAGACTAGACTTGCGTAAGTATCAGACTTGATATTTTAAATATTTGGCGAGCTACTTGATTATTAGTAGTAATTGTACTTCCTTTTACGGATTTCTCCCGCATTTTACAAAATTGTCCGAAAAGTTTTTTAAATTTCATAACTCACATATATATTCGTGAGTGGGGCCAATGACCCATCAAGTTTCACTATTCCTATGGGATCGGGTTGAACGTCTCAGTGGTACTATTATGGATCGGGCCGTATGACCACGACAATATTATGAGACACATCTATGGTTCGTGCCGGTCCACCATCGGTAGTGTATACGATTATTATGGGATTGAGTTGAATGCCTCAATAATATTATTATGGGATCGGGCCGTATACCACGATAGAAAATCGTGCCATTACTCTTATGGGATCGAGCCCCTCACCTTGGTAGAATCGTGCATAATATTTGATTAGGAGTCAAAGTACATATGAGTTTCTGGCTTGAGATGTGACATTCTATGTGATTTTGACCATTATGTATCCCATGCGAGGTTGTATCCGGCTATTGAGGACTTCATATTTATACTTCTGTTGAGGATCGTGTTACGCACATATATCTATTTTATTGCCTTTACCTGCTATGTCTCATACATGTTTATTTTTATTGTACTTGATCTTTTGGACCACTAGTAACTGTCGATGTCGACCCCTCGTCACTACTTCTTCGAGGTTACTCTAGATACTTACTAGGAATGCGTTGATTTACGTACTCAGACTACACTTCTGCTCTGATTGTGCATGTACTGAGATATGTACTTTTGGTGGTCATTTGGGAGTATAGGT